CGGGGGGGGGGGGGGGGGGGGGAATCCATCTGTGACGTCATAAAGTTATGTAACTGGAAAACCGCTGTAGACCCGGTGAAGCCCTAGCGCTCTACCCCGAGGCTTGTGTGACGTCACTGTGCCCGCGAGAGGAGGCAGTGACGTTACAGCTCCAAAGTTCTCTGAGAGGTGGGACGGGACGCTTTGGAGCCGGCTGGCTCTAGGGACACCAAGATTCTAGGGAGCTTAGCATATCATAGGTCCCAAGTTCTTGCAGCTGAGATAACATCAAGGAGCCCCAGACAATGGTCCACTGCGCCCTTCTCCCCCCTGTGAACAATGAGTCCGCGGCAAGGAGGTACTAGGGAAAATGGCCCTTGGTGCGCTCCAAACCGCTAGTACCTTCTGGAAAGTGGAGGTGGAACCCTATCCTCTTTCTCCAAGGGAGAAGACCCTGCAAGATGTTCTTTCTTTCTCCTGATCTCTTCCCAGAGCGAGCGATGAGCAGCTCTGGGCTACACAGAGGTTCTCTCGTGCCTTCTACGCATCCTGCCAAGTCCGGCGGAGACGGGTAGCTCCTCCTCCCTGCCCACTAAACACAGACCTCGCGGCTTTGGGAAGGGCCCCAGCTGCACTCCAGAAGGCAAGCACCACCAGCCTCCCTCGCTCCTGAAAACCTGCCCCAGCGACTGCGCACCCGAGAAAGAGGCTCAAGCAGGGAGGAGGGAGCTAGGACTCTATTCCGTGTAGCGGAAAAGAGTTGAGGCAGGCAAGAAAATGCATCCAGCATTTCTGGCCCTCTCAATTGCACTTTTTGTGTGACCCACACTGACTACGAGCGGAAACTGCCCCCAACCACATCGCCTGGGAATTGTAGCCTGTGAGGGACCTGGTGGCCCGCGGCCCCGGCCTTTATCCACTTGCAGTGGCTGTTTCTGAACAATCTATGAATCACTGCAGGAGTTATGCTGAGAAATGGTCTCTGGGTCCACCAGGATGAAGGCACTCGGTAGAGCAAGGGAGGCATTCTGGGTGGGCGGGGGTCTCCTGTCCTGGCAGCACCCTGCCCCAGTCCTTACTCCCCTCCCGCCTGCCCTCCCTCCCGCGTCGTTAAAAACTCTGCGCAGGGAATCTATTCTTCTGAGGATGGACACTTGATATTGAAAGTCAGTCGCAAGGGGTGGGCTGGTTGGGATTCATTGTGTCAGAGGTGCAGTGCGCCAGAAAGGAAAAGCATTGCCACGAACTTCCCCACTTCGCAGCATTTATGATGTCCTGAGGTCTGGCTAACTGAAGAGGCTCTGTGTGTCCTTGGAGGTGGAGGAATGTGAGGGGCGAATAGACAGCAGCTGTAGTTAATCCCCAGGAAAACTGACGCCCAGAAGGTGAAAAGAGACTAGGGGGTGCTCTCTTCTTGCAGGTTTTCATAAGTGCCCACCGCTATGCTTAGCGGCTGCCAGTGAGTGTGTCTGTGTGTGCAAACCCACGCACTTCTGTAGTCTCAGAGCAACCACGGCCCCCAACCTCTTGGGGCCTCATAAGAAACCAATGTGACCCCTGCAGTTGGCCATGGCCAAACGTAGGCCATACTACAGCCTGTGCTGGTTGGGCCCAGGCCGTCGATGCCCCAAACTTCTAACCCTCCTTCCACACACCCAGAGGTCCCAATTTTCGGGGAAGGGGATATTATTCTCTCCTGGGCCACGTCCTTGTAGACCTGGATGGAAGAGGAATTGGGATCTTGTCCGGCTAACGGGGATCCCGCAGGCCAATTCTGACCCGGCAGCTCCCTGCCCCTCATTCGCAGTGGACCCTGGAGACACTCAAGAGTTTTCAGGGCGAGACCAGGCACAGAGATGAACGGCAGACACAGGCTGCAACACAGTTACTCCGAGTCGCGGGCTGGAAACCGTGAGATGCCTCAAGTCCTGGGCCGCCCCTCCAGGCCTGTCCAGCAGGGGGCAGCGCGGCTGTCAACGCGGAGGGCAGGTCTCATCTGCACCGGCCCGGCCGAGGCCACAGTGCCAAGAGGGGTTCCCGGGCCGCGGAGTTCTAGCCCGCACAGGGCCTGGGAGCGTTCCCAGAGGAGATGGGGGTAGGGAGTGACAGGCGAGAGAGTTTTAACTCCTGCAGCTCGGGCCCGCTTTCCCGGCCCGCAGGGCCCTGCTTAAAGTTGAGATTTTTGACCCCTGTTGCGGGGACGCTCGGCCCAGTTGTCTCTGCGGCCGCTGCGAGCCACCAGGCACTGAAGCCGGGGAGGCCGCGCTCGGCTGGGGAAAGGGCGCGGGCGCCACCGCCTGCGCGGTGAACGCGGTCAGGGCGCTGGGGCCGGGGGAGCCCCGCCCCGCCCCCAGCAGGAGAACCCCCGGCGGCCTGGCCTCTAATTGTGGGAAAACCAGACGCCCCGGGGAAGGTTCGACTTGTGGAGGGCGGACTCGGATTTCGGATTTCTCTTCCAAGCGTCCCCGGCCTCCCAGGGAGCCGCCCCCGCCATTCCGAACAAGGCTTGCACACTGGAGGGAATCTGCGAGCGTGAGCCGTGATCTGGGTAGGGGACAGGCCCCAGTCAGAGAATTGTGTCTGGGGGATTCTAAGGGAGGAAGGAATGCAGGTTCGGAGTTTGGGGGAGGCAGGGATTGTGTGTTGCAGCCGGGAGCTGGGGCGGGAGGAACAGGAGTCAGTACTGCTCTGAGGCTTTGTAAGGGCGGGCCCTTCCCATCCTAGAGCAGAAGCCAGAGGCCAGAAGGGAGGCCTTCGTTGGGGGGTGGGGGGGTTGATATTCTGTTCCCTTAATGGGCCCTAAGCGACCCCGGCATGTGGAGATGCTGGGATTTCTCACGGCCGGTGCGATGACCTCAGGCTCGGTTTCTTTGTAAACTCACAGCCCCGTGGAGGTGAGGAGGGTGAGGAGTGGGGAGATGGAGACTCTAACACCGAACCAACACCGGGAGAGCGGCGTTTTCTGCACCCACCCCAGCCCTGTCACCCTAATAAGGCGGGGTGGGGTAAGTGGCACAGGTTGATGCGAGCAGAGAATCCTGCTCCTCTCCAAGAAAGGAGCCGCCGGTTTCCTGCGTTGGGGAGGGAAATTACCCACCCTGCAATGCCTGTAAAATAACCGTTTATTTAATAGTTTAAAAAAAAAAAAAAAAAAAAAAACTCCAGTGATAAATGTCCGTTACCGATGGTCAGCATAAAGTGCCAATCGCAATACAACGTCCGGCTCCTGGCCGGCTGCTCGCTCGCGGTGACGCGGCGACGGAGCAGGGGAGCCAGAGGAGGCCGGGCGCCCTGCAGCCCCCCGGGCCCGAGGTCCCCGCCCCGGCGGCGTCCGAGTCCGGGAGCCCACGGCCGACTGCGCGGCGGGCGCTGGAAGGGGGCGCCGCCCGCCCCGCGGTCCCAGGGGCCGGGCGGCTGAAGCGGATACACGGATTACACTTTTGCAGGCTCCCGGGGGTGGGCATGGGGACGCGAGACGGGGCTGGAAGCTGCCAGAGCGCAGAGTTCCTTTTTCTCTCCCCTCGCTCTCCGCAGTCAGAGTTATAAGCTTATATGGTCAAAGAAAAAAAAAAAACATAATAATAAAGAAAACGTATAAAATAACAATAGAAAAAGTAATACTTCTGGGAGAGGCGCCGCTGCGGCTCCGCGGAGCTTTCGTTCTTTTTTTAATGCAGTTTTCCTTCCGCCACGTGAGTACCGCCTGTTGGCCAAGAGTTTAGCCGCGTCCAAGGGGAGCCGCCCGGGCGGTCGGGGTCACGGCCCCGGGCGGGGCTCCGGAGCGCCGCGTGCGCCGGGGACCCGGGGGACATTGTTGGGTGGGGGACGGTCCCGAGCGCCCCTCCTGCTGCCCGCCAGAGTCGCCTTCGGCTTCAGGTCCCTCTGGAGGAGGAGGCAGCGTGGCCCAGGATCCTGGTCACCCGGAGGCTCGATTTAGCATTTGATCTTGGAGGTTTTGAGCTCCTTCACCTGTGAGTGCAGTGTCTTGTGGACAGCGAGAGTCCTGGACTGGCAGAATCCTTTCCCGCACTCTTGACACTTGAAAGGCTTCTCTTTGGAGTGAATATATCTGAGGATAGAAACAGACAGTCAATCCTTGCAAAATGATGCAATGTTAAAAACAGTTGCCAAAAAGCCCCTCCCACTGCTATGAGGCGCTTGTCCTCAAAGGAAGAGGGGGTTATGGGCGTATAGAGTGTGGATCCGGATCGGGACAAAATGTTGAGTTTGTGGACGGAGTAGGGAGCTAAAGGAGACGCTTGGCAAGTCTGATCCCTAAACAGGACCACCTGCCTTCCTGAGGAGGAGGGGCAAGCACGGCCTCCTTATAAGGTACGGGTCAGGACCGTAAATGAGTCCAGAGAGCTGGGCTCGAACAATTTGCTAGAGCTCCACTGTCCAAGATGGTAGCCACTAGCACATGTGGTTATTAAAATTAAAATTACTTAAAATTAAATAAAACTAAAACTTCATTTCAAGTGCTCAATTGTCACTTCTGTCAAATGTCACACTTTCCGTCCTCACAGAAACTTCTATTGGACAGCTCTGGAGATGGAAGAAGGGGGCTGAGGAGACTGTGTGCTTGTCTGGACCTCATGGAGACCTGACTTAGTCTCAGGTCCCATTGCTCCACCCATGTTCCAAAACCTATCCCTGAGCCTCATAAGGTTTCCTTCGTGACTCTAGGGAATTCCCAGGAGCTCTGGAGGCTTGAAACCAGTAGAGGGGTCTCATGAACCTCATTAGGGAAAAGAATGGTGAGGCCAGAGGCAGCCGAGGCCGCTCTCTCTTGGGCCACCCGCAGTGCCTGCCGCACCTGTGGTCCCGTAGGTGGTCTTGCCTCCGGAAAGCTTTGTGGCAGATATCACAGGTGTAGGGCCTCTCGTCGGTGTGCGTCCGCTCATGGATTAGTAGATTGTAGGACTTGGTGAAGTGGCGGCCACAGAACTTGCAGACGAACTCCTTTTTGGTCTTGGAAGGCAGGCGTCCCCTCGTGGGCTTCTTTTCTGGAGACAGCTTGGTCACGTCGAGGAGCGCGCCTAGCCCACCCGCGGGGGAGCCGGGGCCCTCCCCGCGGCCAAGCTTGGAGGGATCTTCTTGTGTGGCGGCTAGGGCCAAGTTGGCGAAATCAAAGCGCGGCTTGGTCTTCAGCACTGGGCCGCTGCCTCCAGCGGTGATCTCCGGCTTGGGCTGGATGACATGAGGGAACCAGGGGAAGGCGGGCAGCTGGAAGCGTGCGTCCACCAGGCTGGAGACCGCTCCAGGCACCTTGGAGAAAGAGGAGCGTGGCAAGTGCATGGCCGGGTAGCCTAGAGTCCACTGGTGCAGGTGCACAGCGTGCAATGCACTGAAACCATACAAGTTGGGCAGGTGATCCGAGGGCACTGTGGGCAGGCCGTTCACTGCTTGAAGGAAGGAGTAGTTGGTGAGCTGCAGGGATGGGTGGATGGGCACTGGAGCTGGCAAGGTCTTGCTGCCCATGTCCGTAGTTGCAGTGGATTCTCAATCTGGACCTGCAAAGACAGGAAGAAGAAAGGGGGGGGGGGGAAGAAGTTCAGGGTAGGTCGCCTTCCTCCTGAATTCCAACCCAGCCATACCCTTTTCTTCCCCCTGGACAGGAGCTGGGCTTCTAAGACCTCACCCACCCAACCCACTGCCCTTACAAAGAAGATGGGAACGGATGATGCATGGGAGTCCTCTTCTCAGAACCCTCCCTGGTCTTTGGCAGATACACGCAACCTGACAGAAAAACCTGTAGGAAACTATATCCTGTGCAATGCATCCAACTTAAAAAATGAGGGCCTACTCGATACAGAACACTGAGAAAGACACAAACAAGCACAGGGAAACTGGCAAGCCTGGGTCAACACAGCATTACAATCTCCTGCAAAGAAAACAGGAATTTGAAAGCAAACTTACACACATTCATGTGCAGATAAACACAGAAATGCACACTGACAGATGAACACAGATTCACACATTCTGAAGCAGAATTGACAACAAGGTGCAAAGATGAACTGGGACAACTAGTGTTTTACAGCACAACACTAGCTACAAAATGCAAGCACTGTCTTACACACACACACAGGGAATCACATTGCACCAACAGAAACCTTCATAGACAGAGAGCACACATACACATGCACATAAATACACACAATTCCTGGCTCCTGCACATTAAGGTCTTCTGGCTGACCTTCCATTTGGCTTCCAGAAGCCAATAGATCCGTGTCATCTTTCTCAAAACTCTCAACTTTGACCTCAAATTTGCTTTCCTGCCTTACTGTTAGTGAACCCTGTTGGAACCACTCTCTCTGCAGCTGCTTGCAGACTGACTCCCCACCATAGTCCTTGGGGATCACCTTCCTTTCAAGGAGGGTACTGATACCCACATTCCTTTATTCACTCAAACATCTGCAGCCACATACAAGGGGTCAGTGCCCTCCGTCCCCCACAGGAAAATGGGCCAGGGTCTTTGGACTCTCAGGATGTTTGTGTGTGTGGTAAACCCTGGGCAGGTGGGTATGCCTGTGGGCAGGAACACTAAGGCTAGGCCTCTGCTGCTGTGTTCTGTGCACCTTCCAACTGCAAGGTCAGGGAGCTTGAGAAAGGCTACAGGGAAGCCACAGGCTGGCATCTCCTGGCCTCCTTGGTCAGGGTCTCCAGCCTCTATGGAAAGGTCTGGGCTCTACGAAGAGGCCCTTCATGTCTACCTTCACAGACACTCCTAACTCTGGTCTCTTCAGTGGAGGAAAAAAACAACAGGGAGAAAGAAAGCCAAAAGTAGCAAAGAGTCTGAAGGACCCAAGTGCTGAATTCCTGGCTGTCATCTTTGGGTTACTCAAGAAGTCATCATAAGAGGAGTGTCCTTGGGACTCCCTTTTCCTTTGCCCAGTCTCAGTCCTCTGCTGCTGACTTCTTCCTTTACCCCTCATTCTTCCCCTTCTCTTTCTCAGACCCCTCCTCTAACCTGGAGTAATTCCTCTTCCCTGGGATGTATGGGCCACTGCTCTGCTCCCTAGTTCCTAGCACGAACTCACCCCTTTCCAGGTCTAAGTTACCCTCAGCCCAGGGTAAGGCCCAGGCTTAGACAGCTGCCTTTCACTGCAGCGAGGCTCTAAAAGCCTGGCCCTGTTTAGGGATGTGCAGCGCCTGTTCCCAGGAGGAGTGAGAGCAATTTTCACCCAGAAAATCTTTTCCTCTGGAAGCTAGCAGGGGAGTCACTGTCTGTGTGGCAGGTCCTAAGGAGAGAGGTATTGCTGGGGGTAGGAGTTACAAAACATTATGAGCCGGCAGAGATTTGCCTGCGCAGGTTAAATTAGCAATCGAATGAAAAGCAAATCTGACTGCTGCAATTAATTCAGCCTCAGGACTAGGGGAGGCACTTATCTGTGGCGATCTGCCTCTGGAGCGAGATCACTGGCCAAGCCGGGAGAGCCATGACCTCCGCCTCAGTCTACTCTACTGCTCCGACCACCGGTCCGGCCGGGACAAACCCAGATCATCCCAGAGCTCTGAGACAAGGTGAAGCACAATACTCATTGGGCCAGAGTGGAAGCCGGGACCCGTTTGCACCGGAGAAGGGGGACGATGAGAAGACTTGCCAACTTCAAAGGTCAGCCTGGGCTTAGGAGAAATCAGCGCTCTTTGATTTGCTGTCACCTCTTCTTCCCCTCTAAGCCTTGGAAATTAGATCTTTATCTCAGGCTCCCCGGAGCCCGCTGGGCGAGGTGAAGGCCTCCGCTTGCTCCTCTCGGTGCTCAGCCTATCCAAGGCCAAGTCAGCGGCTGTGGCTGGCAGAACACGGGCCCAAACACGCTCGGTGCCCGTGTGGGGGGACCTACCAACCTCGCCTGGCCTTTTCCTCAAGTCACCCTAGCAGCGGAGAAGACCTGAGCGGCTTTGGGCTCTGTAGGGGGGCGGAAGGGTGGGGGTGATTGCAGCCACCAGGGCTCTTGGGAGCCAACCTTTCCGGGCTATCTGCCCGGTCTTGTTTCCCCCAACACTCCATTTAGTTTTCTCAGCGACCCAGCCAGTTTCTTATTTTCTGCCGCATTGTGAGGCCAGAGCTCCCCAGGCTCCCGCCAACGACTCTCCCAGAGACGAAATTCGTTCGAAACGTGGCTCTTTACACTAGTACCAAGAACGGGCCCAATACACGATCCAGTTTCAGGCCGTCAGCTAAGAGAGAAAAACACAGGCGCCTCTCCCGCCGGAGAGGTTGAGTGAACGCCCAGCCCGTCGGTTCCCGTCGCCCTGGCCCTGGCACCCCAGTGCGAACGCGTTCGATCTTTAAACACGAGAGGGAACACACCTCTCTCTAGGCCAGGCATCCACTCCGCAAGGAACTCGGCCTCAGGACCTGGAAGGTGCAAGTAAGAACCCCGACTCCCCGCAGGAAATGCAATTCGCGCTTCGGAGACCGGGTCCCCGCGCGGAGGGCACTCGCGTCCCTACAGCGGTGGAGTGTCAGTCCCGGGTCTGCCTCCAGCCCTATGCTGGGCATTAATGAAGTGTGCAGAGTCTATTAAAGTGGTTTGTTCGGGGCTAATTGAGCGTGAGCGAGTTAACTGCTTGCATTAATGAAGACGGAGCGAACTCCACGAGCTTGCGCCTGGAGGAGCCGAGCAGCAGCCCCAAGAAAATCATCCTTGACATCGAATCCCCCGCCGAGAGTATTGACCGGCACCGGATACTTCTGCTGCATTCTTCCAATAAACGAGATCGAAGGAACCCACCAGTGAGGCGGCCACCCGTTGCACTTAAATACTCGCTGCATCCTCAGCGACCTGCTCCCGAATCTTAAAACCGCAACTACTTACTTCCAGGATCCTGGGTTAGAACATCTACCCACCGGGTCGCTCCCGGTCCCCGCTAGCCCTTACTTTCCCTAGGAGGCTACGAACCAGAGAGATTATAGCCTTGCACGTGGTTTTTGCTCCCAAGAGCCAGCGCGCAGCTCTTACTCCGGTGAAATTTACCAAATTATGGCAACAAAGAAACCCTGGCAGCTCCTTTACACTCCGAGAGCCCACCCCGCTACTGCCCGAAATGCTGAAAAAGCACTCGATATGGTTTTCCATTCTTCTTCCTAGAGATATTTCGCGGGAGAAATTAGTTCAGCGGCAGCCCCTCACCTCTTACCCCCTCTCCTTCTGCTTCCACCTTCTCTCCTGAAGGCTGGGTGAGGGGACAGTCAGGGGAGCAAAAGAATCCCTCCTTCCCCAGGTTGTTTGCAAAGCCTGGCGACACCCGTGGCTCCATAGTGTTTCCGCTATGCGGGTCTCCAATTCGGAAGCCGTGCTCGCGCCCCCTGCATGCCTCTCTGCACCGGGACAATCGAGGGTTTTGCTCCAGGCCTTGACGACACAGAGCAATCATCCTATAGAGAATATCCCAAAGGCAGAGCGCGAGTGTGAGGCGAGGGCCAGACACGCGGCCCTGAGTCCCGGGATCTAGCCGGCCTTATACCTGAGTGCAACTCCGCAAAGACAAACTGGCACTAAAGCGCTACCGGGCTGGGGCATGCACCTGTCCCTGGCGCCGTCGGCGGCGGCTGCGGCCGTCCCCACACTCTCCCTTCCTTCTTCGTCAGCTAACAGTTTAGCCTGAGCCAGGAGCGCTCTCGGGAAAGTTTGTGCACGCTGAAGTCGCTCCGGTTTCTTAAAAGGAGCCCACAGACTGACTTCCGAAGTCCGTGGGCATTTCGCCCCGGATTCCGCAGAGCCAGGCCCGGCTGGGGACAGTAGCGGAGGCCTGTCCCCTCATTCCCCCGAGGTTAGAGGCCGAGGACCCCGCGCGGAAAGTCCCTGAACCAGCATCCCCAACCACCCTGCGCTGCAGCTGCTCTCACTTTCACAAAGGTCCCGCAGCATTCGTTTCTCAAGAAGAGCTTCCTTCGGGGACATTGAGAGAGAGAGGAGGTACCCGCCGCGCTGTGACAAGGAACCCGGGAGTCCTGCCCGCATTCCCCTTGCTGAGCCCCGGAGCCCAGGGCTGCAGTTACCTCGTTCCGCGGTGGTTCTGGGGTTGAGCAAGTCTCGGAGGCTGTCGCCGCGGGGGACCCGGGAAGCCAGAGGTGCTGGAGCCCACAGGCACCCCTGGAGCTCTAGCGTCCTGCCCGCTCTGCCGCCGCGGAGGCTCGCAGCGCCCGACACGTGGGAGCTCTCGGCAGCCCGGGAGTCGTGCCCGCCGGGGTACAGTGAGCCCCGCTCCCTCGCTGGGTCTGAACCAGGAGCGGCTGAGAACGTGCTGGGGAGAGGCCGAGCTCCGACTCACTCATCCCTTAGCACCGAGCCGCCTACTTATTTTAATCCGCCACCCTCCCTCCTCCTCCTCCCTCCCTCCCCTGCCCCCCAACCTTGCCCCGCGCCTGCGCACTGAGAGACAAAGTTTTGCTGACCCGGGCTGCCGACTTTGGCAGCGGCGCTCGCTTCGCGCTGGCCTCTCCCGACCTGCGTCCCCTCCTCTTCAGTCCCATGCAACCCCTTATGCGCTTTTAGGCCCACGAGGGCACGGCTGGAGCGCTGGAAGAAACAGCCCCAAGCAGATGAGAGCGGACTGGAACCGCGCGTTCCGAGGTTCTATTCTTGCGTTCCTAGGAGAGCCCGTGCCCGGGGACGGGGGTGGGAGCGGCTCTGTGCACCCGGATCCGCGCACCACGGCTTGGGCTTCAGCGCACTTTGCGCCCGGCAGAGTCGCCTCTCCTCTCAGAATCTCTTCCCAGAGGCGGCAGACTCCGGGCGTGGAGCAGCTCCTAGACATCTAAGCGTGCTCAAGGCCAGGGCGCTAACCCAGGCAGCTCTGGCTAGTTCCTGGGCGGGAGGGCCAGGGTCACCGACCCAAGCGAGCCGTAACATCCGACTTCCTATGGCTGACCCCAGACCCTGGATTATGGAGTTCAATAGAAGGATTAGACTCAGAAGGTAGGGGCAGGAGGTCAAGAAAGTTATTTTCCTGGGAGCCAGAACTCTCTGGGATTCCACCCCAACGCAGAGTCGCACTGTAATCACATATTCGTTTCAGGATGGATGGGAGTTTGGAGAGAGGCACAGGCACGCGAGGCAAGCTGCCATGATATCAGCTCCAGGGCCTCTGAGTCAAGGAGCTGGCTCAGGTGGAGTTTGGGTCTAAATGGAGCCAGGATTCTGGCCGCAGAAAATTCTGTCTTCACTGCCTAGGCCTGATGGAGGGTACCAATACCCTCTGGACTGCTCATCTCCGGGAGCTGACCTCCAGCTGACCCCTGCCCCGACCATTCCCGGGGCCTCTCTGGAACATCGGCCCTGTTGGCATAGGGAGGCGCCAGTTTCCCAGGGCCTGGGTGGGTCCAGATTCACACCACCGCACTTTCTGCTTAGACCTCTCTGCTCTCTGGGGGCTGGGTCCTGGCCTCTGTGGGTCTGTAATGTATTGTACTGCGTCTCTCCAGGGGCGCCTCCACTATTTCCAGCTTTGGTTTGCAAAGCTAACCTGATTTGGGAGAGTGACGGGGGTGGGGGGGGGAAGTCTTGTGATCCCTGACCTACGGAAATAGTCATGGAGATGCCCCCTTCACCCCCTTCTCAAAGGCATAGTTGGAAGAGAGTCTCCTTGTATCCCCTGGCATTTAGAACAGAACCTGTCCTCCAGCCTCTGGGTAACTTTGGCCTGTGCAGGGAGGAGGAAGAGGGACACAATCTTTACCCCAAGGGACTGCACTCACCCCATTCCACAAGTTAGTGCAGGAATAAGAGACCCACACCTTAGCAGCTGCCAGTATGGGGCACCATCTTTGCTACAGTGAGGCCCTTCAGAGCAGAAGGGAGCTGAGCTCTCCCCATCCAAGAGATTCCAGAGAAGCAAGTTCCAAGAGCAGGGGAGAAACTGGAGGGAAAGTCCAGGCAGGGCATTGCTGGGCTTTACTAGCTTCCACCTTGGGTGCTGTGAGTATGTGTGTACCAGCCTCGGACTCTCCAAGTAGGCAAAGTTGGGGAACCTCCATTACCAGCAGTGAAAGTTCCCCCCAAAATGTTGACACAATAGGGCCTCTGGCTGTCCAGGCCAAGTTCAGGTAGAATGGAGCCCCCAGGGTGTACATACCCCATCTCCTGCTCTGAACTCTCTCTACTTGTCTTTCTGTCCTAAAGCAGGGCCCTTGGCCAACATGCCTAGGGACTCCCTGAAAGCCCCAAGTAGTAGGATCCCTAAGGATCTCTTGGCAAAACAGTGTTCGTGATCCTAAAGAAAGGAACATGCAATGTGGTTGTTTAATGCTGCTTTTTGCCAAGTTATTTTGAAAATTGATCCTAACTCAGGCCAAACCCTAAAACTTAGTGGATATGAGTCAGGGTGGGGAAGCCAGGTTGGCACTGGTCCCTCATGACCCAGGGCCCCAAGCTTCACCTCCTAGAGGAGTCCTGGCCACCTCTGCCTGGAGCTGGTGGACAAAGCAGAATAGAACAAGGGTAGAGACCACACCTGGGCAATGGTATCACTTGGCCTCAGCAACAGCTCACCTGTTTTAGACACCTAGCTTCAGAGATACTCCTCTTAGGTCACCGACAATGCACAACCTCAGCAAGTTGATATAACGAAATTCAAGATTTGCTGGGAGCTGAAAAGTCCTCCATCCCACTCTGAGCTCCCAAGGGAGTGACCTCCACTGGAGGTCAACCAGAGTCCTGGTTGCCTTTGGGCAGAGTGAGCAGGGAGAAGCCAGGAAGTTAAGGGCACTTCTGACCCTCTGTGCAAGGGGAAGCAACTGGTGGGATCCACTACCCGACCTATTTAAGAGAAATTCATCAGACTAAGCAGAGCCTAAGCCTCAAAGTCACGCCGTGACTGGGGCTTGGATGAATTGAAGAGGGCAAGACCGAGGACACCTAAGGGCAACGGGGATACTTTTTAGCGAAGTCAGATTCGTTTAGAACACGCGAGGACGTCGTATTTCGAATTTGGTAAACGCCCTCAATAGCTGCTACCCAACGGTCCTGCCCGGCCGGGAGCCCAGTGAAGTTGGCGACACGACTGTCCGAACGACCGTGTCACTCCTGGGAGTCCAGCGCGCTCTGCCACCTGCGGCTGCAGCCTCTGCTCGCGTTGAGCCTGCGGGCTCCAGCCAGGTACCGGCCCCGGCGCCGGGGCCAACTCCGCGGCTCCTTCTGGCTCCCGTGCCCGCTGCCTGCGGGGTGGAGCCGCGGACGCCCGAAGGCTCCCAGACTCGACTGCGACCACGCAGCCTTGGGGAAGGGTCCCCACAATAGAGACCAGGCCTCCAGGTCCGGGTTCCGCGCTCCGTCCCACCCTGCTAGTCCCGGTGGGGTGAGGCAGGGGGACGATCCCGGGTCGGCCCGAGCCCCCCGGCTATTGACCGCACTGCGCCCAGTCCCGCAGCGCGCCCTCGCCGCCGCCGCCTCCTCCTGGGCACTCCTGGGGTGGTGACAGCTTCTGCTCGTCCCCAACCCCAGCCGCTCTCCCGACTCCTGCTCACTGGGAAAGAAAGCGCCTCAGCCTATCTTCGCAGTGAAATTGAGCAGCTTCCAGAAAATTAACTAGAACGTGGTCTATATTGCTTTGGGCTGGGTTTTTTTGGGGGGGGAATGAACCCCACCTCTCCGCACTCCCTAGCCACACAAAAATGACCTCATTCTTTTAAATGGAATTCACTTAGCACTTGCGAGATTTTGCTGCCAGCGCGAGCTTTCCTGTAACTACTTTGCGGACATTTGGGGGTCTGCTCATTAGAACTCTCCTTACGCATGTTCGGAGCTTTCAAATAACTGGGAGATTTAGGCGTCCCTCTGTGTCCATTTAGATGATGGATTGTAATGGCTCAGTAGTTCCTCTGGAACCATTACGGTCAATCAGGTCAAAATCCAGCGTGGGGTAAACGTTTTTAAACGCAGGAGGCAGGTAACACGATTTCCACTCACACTTGTGCAGACAACGCCTCTGATAACGTGCTAGCAACCCAGGGTCCTTAGGAGAATAGATGCCAGGTGAACGCAAGAGCGGATGTTTATTGTTGTGACAGCGACATACTATTTACAGTATCAAAACTGAAAGGGAAAGTGAACTGTTTTTCCAGGCAGTTCCAGTTTCGTACGTTCTTTATGAGCACATGAGTATCTTGTAACTATTTGTCCTCTTAATAAAGTCTCAATACACACATGCATGTATCTACTTTCGCTATGCATGAAGCACGAATAGGCACGTGTAACTGCGTGAAGTCTGGGCGTGCCACCACTGGTGAAATGGGATGACGGTCATGCCTTAAGTTGTGAGGATCAGAAGAAAAATGTATGGCAAAGGCGTGGTGGGTTTTTCATTTCTATAGGAATTCGAGTTGTCAGAATTATTTCGACACAACAGATCTGTGTTCTAAGGTTAGTCAACTTTTCCTTTATCCAAAGTGGAAATAAGAGTTTTAGAAACGACGCAGTGTCTAACAAGCGGAGGATGCCGAAGAAAAGTTATCTGAACGAAATTGTGTAGTTAGAGCGAAACGCTGCGCATAGAATCACCTACCGCATCCGCGGCGCTATGTCCCTGACCCGCTACAGCGGCTTCGGTCGGCGCTGGAGGAAGGAGCGTCCGCTGTAATTAAACATTTCCAGACACCGGACGGTCACTATCTGCAGAGCGATTTCCGGCGAGGGGACTCGCAGCAAGTCTGGCTGCGAGGTTTTGAGGACAGATTCCCGGACGCAATCCTAAAGAAAACGTGCCCCCTGCTGGTGAGCGAGCTGCATCTCCTGGGGCCCCGTCATCGAAAAGTTGCAAACCCAAATCTCTATGTCATTTGACCTGAGTGCCTTTTTTCTTTAATTTTTCTTTTTCTTAGTGATGAGATTTTCCTCGTTTAAAATTGCCCTTCCAAAGAGCCAGCAGGTGAATTCCCTCTTGCCACGGAGTTTCTGTTTCTCTGCCACGAGCCAGATGCCATTGCTTTCAGATTTGAGTTTTGTTTTGGTTGGTTGGTTGGTTGGTTGGTTGGTTGGTTGGTTGGTTGGTTGGTTGGTTGGTTGGTTGGTTGGTTGGTTGGTTGGTTTTTAAATAATCTCGAATTTTTAGTAACTGTCTATCTACCGCCATTAGCTTCAGGTCCTGGGGAAAATGACGAGCAGAGATTTACTGGGAAAGCTTTCTTCTTTTTCCGAGCTGGATTAGAGTGTGCCTCACTCCCAGGGCCCTGGAGGTGGGGAGGGCTGCCCGGCCAGCTCCCTCCTTCCCCAGCTCCTGCACCAGTCTGCACCTGGCCGGCAGGCAGGCACCACCTGCAGACACAGGAATGGAGAGA